CCAGCAATTGGCTGCCATGAGCAGCTCTGCAGACAAGTCAAAGCAGAAGGGTTCACTTGCAGTTTTTAAGTATGTGTGTGTGTGTGTGTGTGTGTGTGTGAGAACTTGGAAACACTTTTGGATCAAACCCACCCTACACTGGCCGAACAAACAGAAGCCCTGCGATAGATAGATTTTAACACCTCTCACTGCCACCAATCCCACTGCACATATACAGACACATGTTCTATTCCCAACAAGAAGGGGTGAAAGTACAGGAAACAGGAAGCTTGTCTTCTCGTAAAATCGGTGACATCAAATATTTTAAATGCTTTGCGAGCACCGTAAATCAAATTCTCTGTTCACCTGTGCCGTGACAAGACGGTACTAATGAATAAACTTTGTAAATCCTATAAAATCCTTCCTTAAAATGCCTGCATCGCAATAATATTAGGCCCAAGCCAGTGAAGCGGTACATGGCCCTCTTCTGGTGGAATTGTGTGAGCATGTGTGCACAGGCTGTGTGTGAGAGAAAGCCTTATTGATACAAGAATGCAGGAATTTGGTCTCGGACAATAGAAGCCCTCAGCCAAAAATGACAGTGATCTTGGCTCTTGTGTAAGTGTGTGTAAGTAGGGCACCCTCTTTGCCCTACTCTTTGCCCTCTTTGCACAGTGTGGTGGGCTCCTTACACAGCAGTTTATCCTGTCAAAACCACAGCAGTGTGGTGCAATACATTATGGTGATAAGACAACTTCAAATGAGCAAACAGAGAAAAATGTGTAAGAGCCATGTGTTAATCTTAATACTGTTACTAACAGGCTACTTGGCCATTTTTACAGTTTCTTCTTTCTGTTGGTCTCTATGCAGCATGCTTGGCCACAGTTGTGATCAGCTGGCCTTGAGGTGTCTCATCCGCATCATAAAATATACACAATATGGTTATAAAGCAGAACCAGTACTTGTTCGTTTCACATCATTAAAAAGACAGGAGGAGGATCATACTACCAGTGAGGTCATCACGTAGCCCACCCCTGACAGTGCGTCAAGCATACGCTCACTCATTAGACAGCACGACACACTGTGGTTCCCATAGTTATTATTATTATAAGCCTATTGAATTAACCGAATAACAGGTATTCGGTTGTCTATAGCAGAACGGCCAGAATAATACATTAAATTGCCAAAACCAGGGGCTTTTATACTCTATAAATGTCATTCTAAACCTTTGTCATTATACGATCATAATGGCAAAAACTTAACTTTCCACTTGGAAAGCTATAGCAGTATAAAAATAAAATAAACAGTCACAACGCAATAAAATGTAGGCTATTCCATTTGTTAAGTTATAAAGCGTTGCTGTCTTGGGCCATAAAAGCCCGCTGAAAAAACAGCAGACTTAACAGACTTAATTTCGTCCAGAAGCACATAGGTTTCCACATATGATTCCCCATAGGGCCGGGAAAAAGTCACGAACGAATTACCGCTGTGCGTAAAAGTGGTCATTATGGTGGGACAGGCTTTGTGGCGAGAAAAGCCCCATGCGAGAGGCCGTTACTAAAACGTTAAAAAAAAAAGTTGTTGCACTTACCGGTTTGGTGAATAAATAGAGTTGAAATCAGCGTTCAGAAACGAACATCATCGCCTGTAGTGGACTGTTGTTGTTTGGTGTCAAAAAGACGTTGCAGAATGGATGAAAAACAAAAAAGCCGGCAAACGAGGTTCCCCTTCTCTGTGGCTACTCTTACTCTGTGAGTGAAAAAAAGACGTTACAGCTCACAGTGCGTCACAGATGCAAACTGAAACTCCCGTCTGTCTCTGTCTGTATGTGTGTGTAATCCCACTCTGTCGGTCGGTGTCACCAGCAGGGACTGCGGCTCACCACCTGGCGGGTGAAGCTCGTAATGCATGGCTGTAGGTCTCCTTTTATGGCCCCTGTAGGCTATAAGGAGACCCACAGTGTTCAGATTAAATAAATAACTTAAAATAGATGAGTAAAAAATATACATAAAAGAAGACATTCTGAACTACAAAAAAATCACATTAATAAATACTAAATATTTAAATATAACCACAGATTTTGAAATGATCTAATACAACTCACTTTATCTTCCTGCTACTTTCATTGCTGGTCATTTTTATCTCATTCAGCAGTATTTATACCACAACACCCCCCCCCCCAAAAAAATGCTATTATGCCCTGATGCCTCTTTTTTTAGTCTTTCATTCAAGAGATACAGGGCAGAGCCAGTTATGCAGTCATCGGTTCCCTTGTCCTGAATGAGCTGACAGCCAATCACCTATCTGTCCCAAAAACACAAATGTTAAACTGAACTTACCTCAGTCACTTCCACAATTTTCAAAAAAATATATTGACCATGTAGGTAACAAAGATCCATCCTCTGTACAGTAAAACTGATTTGACCTGTTTTTAGTTCATAAAATTATTAAAATAGATGTTAGATAGAATGTCAATGTCCTGTTCTTAAACACCTGCCATTTAATGGCACAAATAATTGCACCTTCTACCATGTCAAAGTAGGAAAAGTACAGGTGGTACTAATAACATTAACTGTGGCTCTGTTCTGTTCAAGTGCCCCAGTAACAACAGCGAACCAGTGACATGTCAAACTGTCTTTTGTGTTTAAGGTCTATTGTTGTATACTGATACTATGTCTGCATGGGACTCCCCACTTAGATTTTCTAAATCAATTTCAATCCTGTGGAGAGTTATTTTGTCTACTGACCTACATATTTTGTCTCTAATGTGCATTCAATTGTTGAACTTTAGCTGTACAATATGTCCTCATGCTCCCATACAAGGTTTGGGTCTAAGCCCCCTGTGTCTTTAAATCTAAAATAATCTGTGGAGTCTCTCCTGCTTCTGAATATAGTCACTCCAGGCCAGGGTCAAGCCCTCAGGTGTTTGGTTGCAAAGAACGCAATATGAGAAAAATATTTTATCAAGGTTACAAGAAATGAAATACAAATTACATTTATTTTTAATGTTGTTTTAAAAAGTTGTCTTTGTGATGTTCTCTAAATAAATGTAGCTCAATTAAAAGTTAGATTAAAGTAGTTAAATTGAGTACTTCAGTTCCTTTACTGCAGTTAATATGAGCGAACAGTACTATGCCAGACTAAATATAAATGACATAGCTTTTCCAAATACACACACATAATATTGTAAATCTGATATCAGTGAATGAAGGAGATTTCCACTGGCCCACGTTCCTCTGCTGGGATGAACCAGTGAGTCAGTCAGTCATTCATGTCAGTCACAGATGAATCTCTGTGCTGCTGTCTGCACTGCCTCCTTCATTCACCACACAGATCATCACTGTTCAACGCATCACTTGAATACTGTGTGTGGATGTAAGTGGGCTGCATCTTGTGTGTGTGTGTTCATGAGGGGAGGGAAGGAGCCAACATTTGTATTTGCATGTGTGTCCTGAATGACGGGCATTCATGCCGTTTTCCTCTATATACTGCAGGGCTATCATATCACAATACACTTCATTGTGGGTCAGTGGTTTAAAGTAAAAAGAATGGCGGAGTGACTCCGAAGCATGCTGGTAAAAAACCACAGTGGTGACTTTGTGTAATTGTCAATGCCGCTGTCTGTAGGAGACGAGGAGGGCATCATCATACATGAGTCAAATTTATTATTGTTTATTTATCTATTTATTTATTGTTACTGTTAGGGAGAGAGGGAGGTGTCATCGGGGTCAGAGATGAACAGGCAACAAGTTGATTCAAACTGTACATTTTTGGATGTTTCAAGAAATAAGACATTAAGAGTGTACCTAAAGTTGCATGAATATGATCCATGTGGTGACATAAACAAACAAAAGTGCTCTGATGCTAGCAAGGCTATTTTGCTATTTACATTTATTAATTTTAGCTGACGCTTTTATCCAAAGCGACTTACAATTGCTATACATATCAGAGGTCGCACGCCTCTGGAGCAACTAGGGGTTAAGTGTCTTGCTCAGGGACACATTGGCTGGGTGTGTCACAGTGGGGATTTGAAGCCGGGTCTCTCACACCAAAGTTAAGTGTCTTATCCACTGCGCCATCACCACCCTATGCTATGCTGAATCTTGCTTAAGTCAGCCAGCTGTATTGTCAACAATTGGTAAAAATGAAATCCAAGTTTGCTTAAGGACAGAAAAAGTTTGAGAACCACTGGTCAAGTGGAAGAAAGAAAAATGGTCTTTATTAGATGACCTGTAAAACAATTAGTGAAAATTCTGGTCTTCAACAGCGGCCTTGGCTGACTTTTGCTGTACCATTTTTGGTAATGTTTTTTTCCACTTGATGTTAAGGATTGTGTAAATGACTGTGACTAAATGAAGTTGAGTTTTTGCTACCAGGGGTAACACCCATTTATATAAAGTGTTGGCAAATGTAGGGCTGCAACAAAGAATTATTTCCAATATTGATTAATTGATATTGGAAATGTGTTAGTGAACAACAGCCATCATAAATTTCCCAGATCACAAGGTGGTCTTCAATTTGCTTGTTTTTTTCCCGACAAACAGTCCAAAACCTAAAAGTTGTCAGTTATCAGCAATAATTTGAAATAATGCAGCAAACTTAACATTTCAGTAGCTGGAGAAAAAAAAAGATTTTTGCTTTAAAAATATTATAATTAAACAATTCTTTTTTTAAATTGTCGCTGATTAATTCTCTGTTCAGCGACTAATTGATTAATCGACTGAGCTCAAGGTAAAAGCAAGCGAAGTACATGCACGGGCACGGAGCTGATGGCTCATTGCAGAGGGGGTGAGCACCTCTGGAAGGCCCTTGGTTTGAAAGACCGAAATTTGCTGACTGGATACCGGGACATGTAAACCCCCCATTCAGATTCCTGATCATGTGTTCAGGCTATGTTGATTGAAAATATGATTAAGACCAGAATAAGACTCAAAATCGGGGACAATAATGTGCATGTAAACATACTTTAGTTTTAGGAGACCCACACCTCACCAGGCGAAGAAAGAACAGGCACAAACGGGCACCAGTGAACTGATTTAATTACAAAGAGGAGCCCACAGTGACAAAACAAGAACAGCTACATACAGGAAGAAACTCTGATAGACTGTAACAATAACAACTGCAAAATGTCAACCAGAGTAAACAAAAGTCAGGTGTTTTCCTTCCTGTAGACATTCGTAACAAGGCAAACATACGTTTTGGAGCTAACATGGCTACCGGTGAAAACATCAATGCCAAAACTCTATCTTTCAGTCTGTAACAACAGAGGCCATCTTGTCTTCTTTTAGAAAGATCTATGACAGTTATAATTTAAACATTACTGACAGCGCATGCCAGAGAAGGAAGGGGGAAAATACAAACAAAAACAAACCTTACACAAATATATAAAAATATGCCATTAGATTCATATCAACAATTGAGGACCGCGGGGGCACTATTTACAGAAAAAAGGCAATATATACCAATATTTACAACAATAAAGACTTCTCTCACATACGGGCACGAGAAGGTTACTTACAAGTTACAGTGATGAAAGGATGGGTTTGATGTGATGGTGAGTGTAATTGTGTTAAGTGTAAATCTTTTCGTTTCTTTAACTGGCACACAACTTTGCTTCATTCTCTCAATGCTTCGTTCTCTCAACCCTGGTAAAATTAGCATTGAGCTTTACTTCATATTTAAGATGTGTTTGCGTCTGTGTGCATGCTTTGTATGTCTGTAAAGTGAAGAGCGCCTACGTTAGTACACTGGGTTCAAAACCTAAAATGCAACTGCTGAAAATGTGAATATTCAGTCATATTCAGTCAATACTTATGTGACTGGTGAGGAAACGTACATTTTTAAAGCAAATCTTTTTCAGATTTTAAAGACTTTCTGAATCGGCTGATTTGAAATGACACTAGTGGTTTTCAGAAAATCATCAAAATAAAGAAATTGTTGCCTAAGAGTTTTCAGTCCAGGGCATTTAGTAATAATGTTTCACACAGAGACCTCAGAGCTTAAAAACACACTAAAAGTTAACTGAGGGGCTGTGACACTTTTTTCCAGCCCAACTCACATTTTAGAAACACTGCTTCAAAAGAGCCGGTACCAGCAGAGTACCGGCGTGGTATACGCAAGATGTTCCTCTAAACACCCCCAGTTTCTCACGGTTCACAGAAATATATTAACTCCCTATTGGTGTACAGCCAGTATAGATATACAGCAATAATCTTTATGGGTAACTTGGTAGCTCTTGGCACTGAGAACACAAATATTAATTTTGTTGTGAATCATTCAGAACATTAAAACAAATATTTATACCTTAACATTAGAGGACATTAAAGGAATAATTGAACAACTCACTTTTTTGCTCAGAGTTATATTAATACCACTCCCTTGTGTCTGTTCGTTATATATAAGGCCAGCAGTAGGTTACCTTAGTTTAGCACAAAGACTGAAATAGCTCACTTTCAGTGAGTACAAAAAATAAAGTGTATAAAACGTTTTTGTGGGGGCTATGTGCTATAACTTAGCAAATGACAGTGATTCCTGAGCATTTTTACACTTGCATAATAAACAAGATATGACGTGTTAATTAGCGAGCTTTAGAGCATTTAGGCAGATTTAGTTTTGTAACTTTGGACATAGGCAGGCAGCCTATCCGTTTCCCCCATATCCAGTCTTTATGCTACGCTACGCTAAGCTAACCGGCTGTGGTTTAATATTTACCGTTCAGACATGAGAGTGGTGTCAATCTTCTCACAAAACACTGTAAGAAACAGAACAAGCGTGTTTCCCAAAATGTCAAACTAGTCCTGTATTGTTTGCCAAAATTCTTGAAATTTCCTTTGCTATGTTCTTCACAGGCTACCACCAGCTAGTTGGAATTTTACCTCAATTGTGAGCAGAAAAATCACAAACAAGCTCCTTTTTATACTTTTCAACTGAATAACAGAGCACTTGTGGATGATGCACACACATACACTCACAGGCCTTGAGGCAAAGAGCTCACAAGCTAGTTAGCAGCTATCACAACAACCAGCCAATCCTCTTAACGGTTAGCTGCTCTCACAGAGGGAGAGTAGACCTAATGTGAAAGCGTTTGGGAAGTGGGACATCTGAGCTGAAGTTCCCAGATGGCTGGCAAAGTGCAATGAGGTTTTGTAGGCTTAGAGGGATCAAAAACAATCACTGCTTAACCCCAAAGCATGAGGCTAACATATGTGTGTGTGTGTGTGTGTGTGTGTGTGTGTGTGAAAGGACAAGTCAGAGTCACCCTTCACATCCCCAGACATCTGCTGTGGGACGAGGGAGAGCTGACTTTTCACTGTGTGTATGTCTAATGGCTTAACTTTTAGCCTTCTCAAGGCACGTGCAGGTGCTCAACATTTGTCCTTCTGACCTACTCTACATCTCGTGCACTCTCTTGTCTCACAAACACATCACCTTCATCTCCAACAATCAATACTGAAATCAGTGTTTGTGTGGGTTTGCGCATTAGGGGTGTTAATAATACATCTTAGCGCTGTATTTCCTGCCACATTACACACTGCGGAGCTGAAAAATAATTGAAATATTAAGCAAATCTTAGCATTTGGCACCCAAAAAGGCAAAAGAGTGACTGTGTTCTTGTGTTGTTTCAAGATAAGGATTGAGCTGTGTTCAGATACAACCTGAATTTTGGGATGGACATCTGGATTGATTTACAGAGCCAGTCCTTTCTGTATCGGTTTCTCTGCCTTTATAGAGCCATTAAACTTCAAAACAAGAACCCTGCATTGTGTAGCGTGCCGAACCATGAGCGGATGGTGTGGTTACACTGCTACTGTATACCTCTCTACCCAAGCCCTATTATGCCCATTTATCTATTCCGGTAATGAAGCCGGTAAAGAAAAAGTGAAAGCTACATCTTCTATAAATTAAGTGCTGTAAAAACAAGGCGCTAAAAATCAAAACCATAAATACTGTACATAACTATCGTTAACTGCTAACACAGCCTAGCGTCATCTTTAAAGAGTTATCTATAGAAATCTGCAACAACAGCTCCTGATTTGCGCTCCACAAACTTTTTATCATTCATGGCAAAAGAAATCTTGTCACATCCCTCCTTGTCAAAACTTTAACACACACAAGGCTTTGGCATTGTGATGGAGGAATGTCGCCAATGCACTTTTTTCCCTACTCAACTCCAGTAGTGGGCATCATCTACGTTCATGTCATCTTAAACTGGCAGCAAAAAAAAATTGTATAAGAAAACCAATTACAATGTGATTATCTGTGGGAAAACACACATTTATGTTTTTTTTTTTTTTTTACAAATGTCTTGAGGTTCAGTAAGCATTAATGTGTGTGATTGTGTGCATGTGTTTATAGTCTTGTTAGATACCCTTGCCACATATTGCACTTAAATGATGCTCTTATTCACTTTCCCTTTACAGGAGAAAAGCTGATTTTAGCAGTCGCACATCTATAAGCAATGATTGTGGAGAAGATAGTATTATCACACCCTAGCAGAAATATCTGATCTCAGAGCTCTCATTTTTTTCCCAGACCTGGCCAATCAGGTTGAAGGACTCCTTTAAAAGCTCACTGACATCAACTAAACCTCTCTAAGCTAAGCTTGAACTCTAGCTAGCAAATTCGGAATATCCTTCAAACGACAGCCTCTGATGGTTTGTTTTACTTAGCTTCCACTCATAGATATTCATATATTTGTACATGACATTTCCCTCTGGTTGTCAGGGGGACATTGTGTCTGCAGTTCAGGCTAAGTATAAGTGATGACGGAGTAAAAGGTTTATGTCCAAGTCCAAAAAAGAAACTGAGAAATTACATGCTTCACTTGTGTCTCAGTTCACTTACATGTCCTCTTTCAACTTCCTGTGCAATGACATTTCCTCTTCTGTCCTTTTCTTCACTTGTCTAAACATCCATCCACGTGTGAAAGTGTCCTATTTCCCTTCTCCATCTCCTGTCTCCTTCAGTAAAGACTTGAGTTAAAAGACATTTTTCTAGACAATACTCGTAAATGCCAAAAATTAAAAATAAAAACCTGAAATACACACGCACAGACCACTCAGTGAGGAACAACCACACCACCAGAAACATTAACACAAGAAAACTGGGTTTGAAGTGATCATATTCATTAAGTCCAAGAGAGCGTTGACAGGCATAATATGCACATAGATACCAGTGGACTGAGCAGAGGACCAAAACAACACCACAAAAATGTGAGGAGTCTGAAAGGGAAAAGGACAAGAGCTTGTGCGCTGTTCTCAGCTAGAGGGAAGTTGGAGCGGGTCATTAGAACCGGTTGTCTCAGACCCTCCAAAGCAAAAGATGGTTGGTACTGTCATCCCGTCCGACTGTTTCACTGCTATTGGTCAGTCTGAAGTCCTCATAGCCATCACCGCCAGAAATCACTAGATGGTTAGTTTTTATAGGGATGTGGGCAGAGGCTCTGCGACGCGCAGAGTCACGCCTTTGCAGGTTCCCGTCAGCTGTGCTGCTGCTCTGGGACTGGTTGCCTAAAAAAAACAGGAGGGAGGCATGAAAGTTCAAGGGATGACACAAGTGAAGATAGATGGTAGTTTGGCAAGACTGCACATGAAATAAATTACCTGTGGAGTCAGTTGTAGTGGGAGGGAAGTTCATGTCAAAACCTTCTGGCAGTTCAATTGATGTCAGGAACCGAACGTGGCCCGTGTGTCCGTGAGCCGAGCCCATCGGCGCCAGCGGAGGTTTCAGTGTCCCAGCCCCAGTCCCTGAGCTCACCGCTGGGATCACCAAAGTAAGGACTACACCTGCAGAAGGACACTATTTGAAAATGTCCTTTTCTTTTTATGTCAAATTCCAAAAAAAAAACCCCTCTTAATCGCCAGATACTGACATCACAGGCAAAGTACATTTTTGCCACTAACAAGACAATATATAAAAGGCTTTATCTTTTGTTTTTTAATCAATTTTACCAAACGTTATGCTTCCTGCATAGAAAAAGTCCAGTAACAGTGATAGAAACTTGTCAGAAACCACAAATGAGCTGTGATTAATGTTTAGAGTCCCTCTAAATAAGTAAGTACATTGAATAGAGATTTACATATTATAGCTTTTGTAGTACTGTTTGCATGCAGATTTACTTATAGCTTGTTTCCAGACCTTCAAATATTTGCCCACATCTTTTATTATTATGTAAAAATAAAATGGAAATTCAGTTTCAGGTTAATGTATTACAGATTTCTTAGACTAAAAAGGTTGTCTTTACCTGCACTGGTCCCAATCCACAGCAGATCCTTACAGGCCAACAATGCTGTGATCCTCAGACAGGCGGCCTTATGCTGTCTGATGATCGCATCTGCGCCTGAGAGGAGAGAAAGAAAAGAGAGAATGGGTTGGAGGTGCGGGGAGGGACAGTGGTAAGGATGAAGGGAGGAGTAAAGGTGAGAGAAAACAATAAGTGGTGGAAGGACAGTAGAAAGAGGGGAGAATGAGAATGAGAGAATTTAGAAAGCAATTTAGGGAGTATAGAGAGAACAGAGTATAATTATAACTATACATATTAAATTAGTTAAAAATGGGAATTAAAGAGAGAGCAATTAAGTAAAAAGCACCTGGCATATGTCCAGAATAAAATAATCACACATTGCACTCTACAATCTGTGTGCTCATATTTCCTTTGTGTGTTTACCTGCAAGCATTTTATGCACAGCCGGCGCCACATCCACCTCTATCAGGCTCTCCAAGGTCTGAGCGTGGTACAATTTGACCTGTGCGCTGCCCTGCAACGCCAACCACACACCCTGACCGTACGCCACCATGCAAGTCACGCACCGACTGCTGTCTGTACCCACCTGGAACCAGTGCTGAGATGAAAGGGAATACGTGTTACACACACACACACTGATTGGTCTGTCTGCCTCGTCATCTATTCACCTTCACACTGCATCCGTCCATCCTTCAGCCTACCTCTTGTACCAGTGTGGTTGTGTTGATAATAAGGACTCTGTTCTGTGAGCCACACCAAAGCTTTCCTCCTACAGGAACCATTTTGGTGATAGGGCTACTGGCCGTGCCCAGAACTAATGTCTGAGAGGACTGAGGGTCCCAGAAACTACCTGCAGATTGAGATTAAGGCAGGATTATACACAGAAAAGGAAAGAGGAATTTAAATCATTTTGTTACTAAAGTGATTTTAAAATAAAACATATATATTTAACTTTACCATATCTGCACAATAAACACTACCTGATTAGTCTTTGTATTGGACAAGGGTGGGAGACTTAAAATTCACTTTAAAACTTTAAATGATGGGATTGTATCTGAAACAGGCAATGATAATGTCAGCGCTCCCAGCAGATGCAGACTAGCATGGCTGTACAGTAGCAGCTATTTGAACAAAAATAAAGCACTGTATGCTTCAGCTACCATTAAAACCAAATAAAATGAGCTGCACTCCCAGCTTACCTGCTTCTCTCTGATAGACAATCACTTCTCCATTGGCCAAGGACACAAACACTTTGTTGTCCAAATACCTGTAGGAAGCAGAAACAGGAAACATCACCCAGGAGACAAACCTGACAGAACATATTAGAAGCCCACTGCATCAAATGGCCCGAGTAGTGGCCAAGAAGGCAACTCACAGTATACAAAGGATGGAGGCTGAGTGCTGCATCTTCATGCTGTTTTTACGGTTACGGATGTTGTCTGAGGACTGGTACACGTGGATGCTAACAGAAACGGGAAGCATTATTATTAAATTAAAATAGCAAGCAAGGAAGCTATATCTATGTGAAAACAGAAAATAAAAGGTTCATTTGTTGTTATGTATAAATGAAAATGATCCATTCAACTCTTTGAAGGTTAATATCTCCACTTTTCATTCATATGTAAGTTTAATGGACCAAAGGTTTATGGGGAGTGTCTGCGCATCACACACCATCCATCCTCTGTGCCTAGCCACACCGAGCTCTGGTAGGCCTCCGGGTCGATACTGAGCAGGTCCTCCAGGCTCGCCCTAGTGAACGAGCCCCGGGAGGAGCGGCGCATGGCGCGGCCATCCATGGAGCTCTCTGTGTGGGCCCGACCTCCTCCGCTAACCCCTAAGATCCCTGGAGCCCCGTAGGAGCTTGCCACCGGGAACTCCTGCTCCTCCTCACTGCTGGTTGTCTCTGTAGCCATGTCCTTTGAGCCTGGGCCCTCGTCATCTTTGAGGGAGAAATGAGAGAAAGTATAGAGTGTTTAAATTCATTTAAATTAACTGTATGAAGTGTAGAAGTGTTTTTAAGACTGACGTGAAGGAGTGTCTGTTTTTACTCACTGCCATAGCTGGATGATATGGTGGAATGACTGGCCTGACTCTGTAGAGTGGAGGAAGGGCTGGGTGAATCCTCGTCATCCGTGTCATCACTGTCAAAAGGAACAAGCTCCGCCCCCGGTCCTGGAAACAATCAGTTGATCAGTCTACATACTTTTATAACAGAAAACTGCAGTACATACAGGTAGAATACAAGTCAGTGGAATTCATTCAATTTCAGTATAGGACAGGATTATTCTAAACCTTACTTGTCTAGCTGCTTACAGTTTACAACCCTGTTTAGCTGTTTGTCATGCTGTAAAACCTTTATGGACCAACCTGTAGGCTGCTCCGTTAGCTCCAGAGATGAATGAGAGATAGATATATGGAGCTGCTGCTGGGCGTGACCGGGTGCTCCGGAGATAGGGGCAAGGGTGGACTCTGATCCACGCTCCCTAAGAGGTGAGGAGTGATTGGTTACTGGTACAGAATACAGATGATGTCAGAAAATAAGAGTTAGTAAACCAGTCAGGTGCGACTCAAGTGAGTTTTTAATGTATGTACAGTATGTCTGAGCTCCACATGCTCATCAGATGACATCGTAGTTTTTCCTGTGTTATTAGAGGTGATTTTAATGACCTCAGATGAAAGTGGCTTACTGGATCAGGTGATGGATCCGAGTCATAGATTCACCTGTGCTTTTCCTTCTTTGACAAATCAAAATGTCTGCCATAAAAAAGATGATGAAGATGAAACTCATATTTGCAGAGGAAACCACTTGTACTGTATAGTCTATAATGAATGCTGTGCAATGATATCTAGAAGTTTGAAAACCTTTGACACTATTAACACAATCATCAATCTTTTGCAGGTGCTGTTCCAGGTCCGTTTACATTTTATAAATCTAGATGTGACAATGATTGATTTCTAAATTACTGTAAAACAGTGTGTACCACATGGGAGGAGAGAATGAGTTATAACTTATTGCTGTATCCTTTGCAAGAGTGTGTGTGTGTGTGTGTGCGTGCGTGCATGCGTACTGACCTTCCCTTGAGTCCAGGTACCGCAGCAATACATATGATCCTTGCTGAGCAGACAGCGATACAGGCTTCCACTGTAGGCTCATCTTTGATGTTCAACAGACACACCTGGGGGCGGATAAGTATCATCGCATCAGTCGAACTATTTGTAAAATTCAAATGATGTTTTTCTTCTCCACTAAAAAGCATGTGGAATAATCAGCCTTACAAGTGTTATCAACTCTGTATTAAGTGAATGTTTATCATCACCAAAAGCACTGATTTTACTGGTTGGTAAATTACGGATACATATGGAGTGTCTTCTCACCTGCCCCACGTATCCATCGCTGTTACACACCCACACCTCACAGCCACTGTCAGGACAGCTATGGCTGGGAGAGGCGCATGAAAACTGGAGACAAACGACAGTACATGAGTGGAGATGACGTCTGTACATCTGGAAAGACCGCTTGTCTACAGGTATATTATTACATAAATCATGGCTTTTACATACACATATATATATATATATATGTATAGATACACACATACATACACACACAGATTATACAGTCGTACTGCAGCTCTCACCTGCATTCCACTACGTGTCTTCATAATAGGAATGGCCTTAAGAAACTCTGGGTCCCACTGGTCCTTATTCATTGCTAAACACAATGACACATTGCATATTAAACCACTTATATAAAGCAGCTCTAGGCCTAATCCTACTAAGAATCATTAGCAATAAAATAATAATTACCAGAAAATTAATTTAATGTTGCTCAATAGAGCCGGGCTAAAAGATTCAACTGTGCTACAGTGTAGTAAATAATGTCTTGTCTCACTATAACGCATTTTCACTGACCTAACTTCTTCTTGGCTTCTTCAAATGCCTGTTCAAAGTTGGAGCGAATGTCAGGAGAGGTAAACTCGAAGACAAAGCTGCTCTCAGCGGAGGCCGTGGTGAACTCCAGCTTTGTGGGCAGGAAGGTCATACTGAAGGCCAGGGACTGCTTCTCTGACAGCTCCCTGTGCACTGATGACATCAGATCTTTTATTACCTCGTCGAGGGACTGAGAGAAATGGAAACGACAAGAAAAAGGCCATTAGATGTTTTTCCACGTAATAAAACAGAAGACAATAAGAAAGATCAAAAGCTCATAAGAAATGAAGTAACATTTTCTCATTGTGTTTAAATCAATGATACTGAGGGAAGGAGGAAGGGTTATAACAAAAAAAGAATTGATACAAACTGCAGACATTTGATACAAACATTTAGTTACTGTTTGTCTGCGTGTGTGCTCATGTGTTGGTCCACAGTACCTGGTGTGGGAAGCTGAGGGTTTCTGACAGTTTGCTGATCTGACCCAGAGTGCTGAGATCCTCGTCTAATCGACTAATCATCTTCTGGATGCTCTCCTTGTTTGTTGCCTGAGTGGAGCCTGATGCAGAGATTTTCAATGAAAGAACACCATCATAATCTGATAAACATATCTCAAAAACTTACATATTTAATTTTAATATTGATGAATCAAACAATGACCCTGCCTAAATGTACCATGTCATTCCTGTGTCTCCACCAGTGATTTTGATAATAATTTTGAAATATAATTGAGTAGAAAAATAAGAAAACAAACGCTACTCATATCAGTAATTATCAGTGAAACATTTGCGTGTGTCCAAAGAAGTAGAGTCATATGAAGAAAAGATAAGCCATACTTTTCACCACCTCCACGTCCTCCAGGGGCAGCTTCCATAGGAACTTGTATTTACTGGATGTATCGATCACACTCGCAGCAGAGTATCTGAGAGTGAGACAGCAGCAGAGAAACCACCAGAAAGAGTGAGACACAATTTTGTCAAACGTTTTCTGTATATCTGTTGGTCAACACCAGGGGGCAGTGTGGTTTGGAAACTGTATTATGATAGTGTGTGTATGTCTTTCCACCTCTGTCAGTGTTTTTGTTTGTGCGTGTGTGTATATCGCGTACAGGCTCATGGAGCTGCGCCTTAATGAGCCAGACTTCCTCTTGAGGGTGGTGCAGATGATCAGATCACTGAAGAGGAAGAGAGAACGGTCTTTCTTCCCCCCCACTGTCTTCTGCAGAGAGAAAGGTGACAGGGAAGAGCTCAGCAAGTCTTCAGTTGGGTCATGGGTCATTTATGTAACAACAGAGGATTCAATACAATACAAGTAAAATTAAAATGTTGTGATTTAGGTTAGTCAAAGTGTAACTGCCTAATTGATGATACTGTTTGCTTTAATTGTTTGTTACTTTGACTTAATTTATAAGACATAAGGAATACAGACAGGTGAAAAAATATTTCTTACCGCCTCCATGACCATTTCCTGTCTGAGGAACTTCCTTTGTGGGTTCAGTATCTAATACAAACACACACACAGAAAAAGATGATATGATGAATAATGATGAAAAATCATAATCATTGGAAAAGAGAACTCTAATTTGTACTGCAGTACTACTAGACAAGTAAACACCAAGTCGTAAACAGTTTATCTTTTTAAAATATACTGTAGATAATAAATATCTCACATGTTCAACTCCCTCTATGTGCGCCTCAATCTCCTGGATGACCCTGGCCTCCCTCTCTGCCTCCTCAGCAGAGCGACGGCCCTTATTGATCTTCTCGGCCAATCGCTTGATGTCCCTCTGGGCGTCCAGTAAGTATGAGTGGTCTGGGTGATCCTCCGGCGTGTGCTTGAGCAGGTCCTAGAATAAACAACATAAACAATAAACAATATATTCATCTCCCTTTACTTGAGCTTCTTGTCGCTAAACACAGAAATGAGGCGGAAAGTGGGCAGTTATGTTTTGAGATAATTCACCTTAACCAGCAACTCGTAGCGAGGAATCCTCTGGACTGGTTTAATCATCAGATCACCTAGAGCCTGTTTCTCCTTGTTCTCACGCATGTTTTGCTGTTGGAGTGAAGGAAGGAAGGAGGACAGGGAAAGAACATGGGTATAAGAGAGGGTAAGAAAATAGGTGAGACTCAAGAAAGCCCAAAGTAACAAGATGTTCGACTCTACAGTCAGGGCAGTGTTACACTTCATGTCTCCACCACAAGATGGCGAAGTGGTTCCACTGGAAAAACGCTGTCTGGCATGAAGTGCTCTATAGTTGAATGAGATCAAGACATGGACATGATAGGTTTTTGTGGTAGCTGATGACAATTTTTGTATCCGAGTTCTGGTCTGCGCAGCCTTCGTGTGCTGTGTTTCCCATACATTTATTTCTGGTGGCACACCACAGTATCAAAATGTACAACAGTGGTTTGACTGGACGGATCGCTAAAATATCCCTGTCAAATTATCTCCTTCAGTTGGTTTAAAGTAAGGGTTGGTAGTACATCTCATGGACAATACTTTTTTCCAGTTCCTAAGAGAGGAGTAACCCAAAAAGATGAAAATGTACTGAAATAGAGAAACAATTTCAGTAGTATCTGAAATTTTTAGATCTCTTGAGCAGAGGAGGAAAAGATGTTCCTCACATAAAATCTGATACCACCTGATTTAGAAACGAGAGCATTGGAAGGAAAAGAGTAAGATTTAAGATTGTTAGTCAGCTCTTGTCAGGTTTTCCCAACGTTTTGTCTGAATTCACTGACAAGTAGAAGAAACATTCAGAACTAAACACGCGCTTCTCAATTTATTTATTCAGAACACTGATCCTGAAGTCCTGTAAGGGTAGAGCAAGAACAATCAAGCAAGTGTCCAAAACTCACTGTAACAACAGCATGGATAAACAGGAAGAACAAGAAAAGAAGCACACACATTAACGTGTACACAACACTAACATTGACAAGTAGAGCCAACAAAGCACAGCAGTCAGCATTTCCCAGCCAAAGCGTTGGCACACAGTGGTCAAACTCCTGACGTTCATTACTTCATTCATTAGTACAAATGTCTAGACTGGTTCCCAGTTTTCCAAACAAACACACAAGAGCAGACTCGGACAAAACATCCTGTGACCTCACCTCCAGAAACTTGTGAAAAGACGGCTTGGCCTCCTTGGCAATCCTCACAGCATCTTTGGCGTTGAGAAAGTTGTCAATGTACGCTGAATACATATTAGCTAGAGTCTCTTTGGAGAACTGGACAGAAGGAGAAGAGGACATTAAATTTACAAGTTTACTCTTTTATATGGCAGTAGCTTATTTAAATTGAATCTGATGGTGCACTTTTTTTTTGTTTAAAAAAATTAAAACAGGCCAGATAGACATTCAATATAAGAAGATGTCACAAGCATCAAGCATCAAGTCACCAATTCCAGGATGGATATTCCACAGTTAGATTGTTGCATTTGGGTAAATAATCAGGAAAAACAACCGCTACAAATAAAGAGAAAACTACCTCTCTGCATTGTTGTTTTGGTTCACTTTAACTTAATAACATGTGCTCAACAGTTAACATTTAGCACATGTTGTATTTGTTACTGTGTAATTAAATCATAATAATAGCGAGAGAGCTGTAATCAGAGAGATTACAGAAGAAACCTTGGCGTAAGTGGTTTTCAATGTTTTGGTCGGCATTAGAAAAGAATAGAGTATTTTGTGTTCTTTCACTTCTTCAAACATAAACACACACACACACACACACACAATGATGATTCACCTTGACCTGCTTTCTTTTCACAAATAATACGGCAGAGTACAGAGAAAGACTCAGAGCTCAAAAAATAAGCAAAAAATAGGAGCACAAACATACAGAGTGTTAACAGACATCCGGCACAATGTGGGGCCTTATTTAACTTAAGAGTAACCAGCTTTCTACCATTTCATGAAATAACCTGGCCCTCTTCTGTTCCTGCATTTCTCTTTTCTCATCCATCTCCAAGTGTCCTCTCCTCTCTGTCCATTCTCCCTCTACTCAGTCTTTGGGGAACAGTGTGAGGACAGAGAAATAACATCTGTGGAGAATCTGAGGACTTAGTCACAGCAGAAACTAACTTTAACCTTCTTACCTTCAAATTAGAGATTATAAGGTGGTTGCTAAAAAGCAATCTAAAAAATAATGCAACTTAATGCATTGTTTAATGTTTTACTCTTTAACCCACTGATGTTTGCACTCTTAATAATGTCAAGTAAATGTTGTCTTTTATGATACAATATTGTTGGGTGTCCAGGTTCTGCTTTTTTTAAAAAGTGTCTGTAGTTAAATGTTGTAGTTTTCAATTCTTGAAACATGAAACTTTTGAATAGACTTTTATATCATATTATTTGAATAATTCTTTTACACCTATCAACACCCCCTTTAAATTCAAAGCTATTTCCTTGGTCCTGTAATCAGTGTTGTTTGGTGAGGATTGGAGCACTGTAATTTCCAGGATTTTATGGACGAATAAAATGAACTTTGAACCTTCAATGCCTTTCTCCCTTATGAACTGGACTGTGAAAATACCACAATGGACATGAGTCCAGTCCAGTATCCTAAGTCTACTATGTTGTATTTTATAAATATATTAGGAAGTTGTAAAATCTAGATTATTTAAACAATCTAAATGTATTAACAAGATCAAAAATAAGTTATTACACATATATCTGTTTAGGAGGGAGGGAAACGGTCAGTCTCGAAACCATTTGTCCTCTACACAGATTTACAGATTTACTGCTGCTTGTGAGACAAAGCTGTGATCAATGCAGGTACACATTTCACACAACCCATACAGCCATGACAAACCAAACCTGCTAAATGTTCTTTCAACAGCAAACCCCTGAACAAAACACCGTGCCCCGTGTGAGGCTCGAACTCACGACCTTCAGATTATGAGACTGACGCGCTGCCTACTGCGCCAACGAGGCCTGAAAGCACTGTAGCTGCTGCAGCTTTAAGAGCTGCGGCGGGGAGAAAAGGAAGGGGAGCATCAAGCAGTGGGGGAGGGACGCTCAGTCAGAACAGTGTGGAGGATCTGCAACTAGACAGAAGAAAACTCACGTTTGTACTTGCAGCTATTTTCCAATAATATTCTTCTGTTTCTATATTCTAACTTTCTCTTTTCAGGAAATCCCACACATAGCAAACCACAGTATAAAATTAAACAGTTTATATATAATGAATCTGTGAATCTATCTCAGAAGGAATGAAAGAAAAATGTTTTGGGTGCAGGCTCTGCTTCATCATCTTGCAATTCAGTTAGTGGTTTTCTGCATTTCCCACATTGTCCTTGTGTCCCCAGTAAGTGTGTGTGAAACTGTTTCATTCAAGCTGTGAGGTGCTGAGAGTGATAACAATAGCATTAACATAGCAAGAGAGTAAGGGGTTTTCCCCCCACGCAAAAAACAAAGCCTGTGGCCACACTGCATTCTGGTCTGTCTATGAAGAATTTCAGTTTGCTCAAACAGTCAGCCTGGACAAGAAGAAGGGTTGAAACTTGATATTTCCCCTAACACGAATGTTTTAGAGCACTGCTTTTACCCTTTAGTTCATGGGAAATTTTTAAATGGGTCGTCAAGAGTTCAAGTGGAAAACAAAATATTAAACTAGTGTTGCCAACTATAGACCATCTCTTAATAAAGCAGCTTCTCTTCAGTCCTCCCTGCCGTCAATAATGCTTTTAAAGTGTTGTTTATTGTTTATTCATTCAAGCTCTGGCCTACAGTTAAATACATTTTAAATGTCATTTCTGCACAAGTTACTATACTATTTGTATGCTTTGGAATTAAACTTTAAAATAAGTATAGGGAAACTTGTATGCACTTGAAAAAAAAAACATTTGCAACACAAAAGAGCTTTGCGATTAAAAAGGGTCGCCTGAAAATACTTGAAATATGAGTTTTAAAATTCTGGACATCACATTGTCCTTAAAATAGTTGATCTCCACCTCAAACTTCAACAAAATTGGTCTATTTGTAAAATGTAAAAAGAATGACACATGTGAACTTATCTGTGTATCATTAAAGATAGCAGGAGAGGACAGATGTGTCATCTTTACTCACTGATTGGATGAGGATGTGTCCAATGGTCTGCCTGTCGTGCCATTGGCTGACGCAGCCGGAGACTTGGTCCAGGAAGTGCTCGTGGTGCTCCAGGATCTCTGGGATCTGGTAAAACATCTCGTCCACAAGAAGTGGGTCCACTATGGAGCCGCTGTCTGGCTGTTTGAGAGGACGCATGTAGTCCTGAGGGGACAAGACATCCCGTTAATTAATGACCATTTCAAATCATTTTGAACGTGCATGAGGTTACCTGCAAATGTCGCCCCGCAGTGGTGGAACTGTGTTTGGATGACGGGAGGAAATTAGCTTGACACATTTCTAGAATTGATGCTTTTGAGAACTAAGAGTAAATTATTATAACAGTCATTTAAGGGACTGACTGAAATAGAATGAATATAGAAAATGAATGTGCTTTCGAACTCTGAAGCTACTAAAGGAGACATTTGGGTGGAATTACATTAAGGTTTTAAGACAATACTATTTCATTTCATTTTTTTGGGTTCATAAAGCTTCTCTTTGGGTGTCAGTGTTATAACTCTGTGCTACGCTTCACATCTGACGCCAACCTGCGCTTCATTCCTAAAATGTTAATAGACAATTTATCTGGATTACAAATGAAATTCACAAGTCTTTTTTTGTTGCACACACTAAATATGGTTTCCTTTCACCCTAACTACAATGCAGATTGCTCTGCTCTCTGTATTTTATTATCTGAGCTGCCTGCCAGACATCTGATTTGCAGGACTGTTTCATTTGGATTCTTATGCAGTGACTTTTACCATTTGCACAGTTGGCTTAAGGGAGCTCATTTAATTTGCATTTAATTTTTTAACGTGGCCAAATCCATCGAGTAGATGATTGGTAGAAGACCAACTTTGAAAAAAGGGATACTACTGTAAAACTTTGATTAATAGCTTGAGTGTTTATTTGCTAAAATCACTGAATTGACCCTGCCTAAATTTGGAACAGGTGTCCATAAGGCACAGGCCTTTAATTCCTCTCGCACAAAACTGAAGTATATCTATAAGAATTACACTTTGGGCTTGTTGTTTCTGTTAATTTAAATGAATGATTGAATTGTGGAGAATCTAACCGATCTAATGATGTGTAGCATGTCCATGCTGACATATTGATCATACGTTTAAACATTAATATTTGTATTAAAGAACTAAGCAGCTTAGAAGCAGCTAAAGCAGGCGACTACGCGGGGTTTAAGAGGTTTTATACATCCAAAGAACTTATATAAAAACTAGACCAGACGTTTAATGGAGACCTGCGTTTATTTGTCAAAATGTGTTCCCACACCAGGACAGTAAACGGGGTAGGCGGCTATTTGGGACTTGGTTGCTATTAATTGGATAAATTATCTAGAATATGAAATGGAAAGAGTTATGATATACCCTCAAGAATCACTTAAGTCACTACATTTTAAACATCCAGGATTAGGATATCATCAGTGATGTAGTCTTTTCTGAAGTAGTGTGGTGGGCAGTACATTGACTTACAACGTCCGATAATCTTGTGGAAGTTTTGTTATCAAGCCCACCCAGACAGAGGCCAAGTCAAGACCAAGACCAGTGTATGGAGACATGCTACATGACATACAATAAAATGTGGAACATGATCATAGGCGCTTCTTAAATTGATCTGGAAGATCCACATTCCCATAAAAACACCCACATACAAACACTAGGAGCTGAAATCAACTTAACCATCTTAATTCAACATTGTTCCAAGTTTTACCATCCACCTAACACAATACAATTTGTGTGTGCAAGCATTAGCTTTTCTGTTTGACTCTTGTCTTCTGTCCATATTTGATCTGCAAATGTGCATTCAAACTCAAAATTAGCTTTCTTAAAATAACATGCCATGTGTTTATGGACATACAGAGCAACATAATCAATTAAATAAGTTGCTCTGTATGGCCATATTAATATGTAAATTCTTTACAGAAATGGAGGCATATTAACTTTAGTTGTTCTCCACTCTCTGCTGCCAGATCTCTAGGCCAGCTCTGTCACCTAAATGAGGGATCGCTAACGTTACCACGACGTAACGTTATAAATAAGCTTTAATGACGGGAGCTACACGCAACTGACATTACCTAGGGTTGATGTAACTTAAACATTAACTATATAGCTTTATGTGACCTGTCTCGTCATTGTTTATCACAAGCTAAGATGTAACGTAACAAAACGACTCTGGATGTAACGTTAACGTAGGAACAAGTTCTCATTACATGCCCTGTCCCCTCAGTCTCTTGCTAGGTGACAAATAACTGACAAGCAACTCAAACTATCCAAGAGTGCCGCGAAAAATTCAGTATGACATACATAGGTAAGCTTGCTAGCTTTGCTAACGTCACTTACACATAGCTAAAGTTACCTTTCTTTATGCTTAAAGAAAGTAGCAATAAAAGTTTAACGTGGTCCAACCGCCTCCGTAACGTTTAATAAAATTTACAGATAGCTGTGTGTTTTCTACTGGGCATTGTTTTACGAATTAATTCTTTATGGTTTAACTTAGGTAGACAAATGTTATTACGAAGATTTTGCTCACATACCCACGTGCTCCCAGACAGCCACAGCTTCTCCTGTCACTTTCATGGAGCGCGTGTGAAGAGGGGCGGGTGACAGCGGTTCACAGGAACAAATACGTTTAATTAGCAATGACTCACGTTATTGGTTGCATTTGAAGCAGTAAGGTTTTACATCCAATCAAAGTTAGGATGTACGCTAATAAATCGGACAATGCAAGGCAATTTATTGATATACCCACAAGACTGATCTCGGTCTGGAGACCACTTTTTAAAGGTCTCGGTCTCATCTCAGTATGGACCGCATTTCAAGATATAAGGTAACGTTACAAGGTTGTTTATTTGTCAGGACAAGGCTGCATAACGAAATGAAATCTGTAGTTCCTTAATGCTACACATACAGGATATAATTAAGTGTATATTAAAATATGATAACATATAAATTAAAACAATATACACAGTTATTAATATACATATATGCATACACGTATAGGCTTACACCAAGAACATGGTACAAGGTACTCGTCCTTGTCTCGTTCTCAAACACAGAGGACTCGGGATTTTATTTCACAACCAGCCAAGACCACAACTGTGAGAATATAATAATATAATAAATTGCCTGTGCAATGTGGATCTTTCAGATCAATTTGAGAAGTGCCTATGATCGTGTTCCACATTTTATCATGTGCCATGTAGTGTGGGGCACTGGTCTTAGTCTTTACTGGTCTTGCCCTCCCTTGGTCTTGGTCTTGACTTGGTCTTAACCCCTCAAAGTCTTGGTCTTGTCTAGGTCTCGATACACTCTGGAGTCTTGCTAATGACTTGGTCTAGGTTTGGGTGGTCTTGACTACAACACTACCACTGGTACCACTACGGTACAGCTGCTATCAGATGACATATTATTTCACTTCACCTAATTGGTTGGAAATTATGTCACCTTTCCTAGACTTGGGTACTAGAGTATAAACAATTATTTGTGTGTTGCCAGACTGGGCTACTTTTAATTAAATTGGGCTGGTAAAAAATAACTCCTTCATCCTTGTCTCCATTCAAGCCTCAAATGCCAATAGCAGAAGGAGGTAACCATCTTATTGATGTTAGGGGGGTGGTAGACGATGATCATGTCAACAAGAGATTGGGGCAATTATGTGTATATTGGTTTTAGAATGTACTGAGATGTATTACATCCTATCTGTGGTATCTTATTTGCAGTGAATACATTTTATCTAGGGTAAAAGTTGTGCAAAATATCATATCGGTAGAGTGAGATATTTATTGTGGTGCAAAATATTAGTAGTGTAATATATTGTAGTAGGCCTACATATAGTATACATATAAGACAGATACGTTGGGTAATGGTGATGTATATCACACAATATTATGTTTTCAGTTCTAGGGTCAATGTGTTTTTATATTACGGATAGGCCCTGGGTAGCAACATTGGTCACTTATGGTGACTTAGGGTCACTTATGGTGACTTAGGGTCACTTATGAACCTGGTGCATAGGTTCACTGTGTTTCTGTATTATATTGTATGTCTATGTCATCTTGTCTTTGATATTTTGTTGTGTGCTAATATGCCTGCTGCAGCACAAATCGCCCACTTGGGACAATTAATAAACTGATTGATTGATTCAATGTCACACATTCATTTAAATCCAATATTTCTTTTTTTAGTTATTTTTTGTTCCCCACAAACTCCAAATATTTCATTTTTTCGGTTAAAAAACTATCTGGAAAAAACACAGCTCATATTAATTCTTTATGTCAGACCAGGTATCTGGACGTACCCCTGCTGTGGAACAGAAACTGAATCTCTCTAGTCACAGAAACCTTCCCAAAAAAAGTCCCAAAAAAGAGACTGCAAAGAATTAGATTTCAACTTTGGACGGCGCTGCTGTAACTGTCTCAGATGAACCACATCTGACACCCTCCTTCGGGGATCTGCACTTTCACTGCAGTCACTGTGGTAACACTTACTTTCACTGTGTCGCCATGGGAACACAGCCCAGGATTATTCACTTTGTGGCCACACACGCAGACACACACGCATAAGGAGAAACACAGAAAAGTCAGCGTGCATGTGGACAATCACACACTCACACATTTCATAAAAATGCACGCACACACTGTTCGCCCACACACGGCGAATGGTGACAGGTTACCCAACCAGGTGATCACAGGTAGGGAAGGAGAGGTGTGTGTGTATGTGTGGGTGTGTGATAGAGAGAGGAGGATGCGGCTAAGATTTGGGGTAAAGGTTAGCTGCTGGGACAGAGATAGGTAAGATACAGGAGAGAGAGCGAGAGCGTCTGTGTGTGTGTATGTGTGTGTGTGGGGGGGGGGGGGGGGGGGCAGATAATGCTGATGACAGTTAGACTTGATAGGGTTAGCAGATTAGCTGACAGGATGACTGACAATAAGTGGATTACATAATGCCTTTGTTACCTACATTTGTTATTCATGTCCTCAGCAATCTGTGAATCCACAAAGGAGTTTGTTTCTTTGTGTGTGTGTGTGTGTGTGTGTGTGTGTGTGAGATGGCAACACACTCAATAAGACTGTTTGTGTGTGTCTGTCCGTGAACATCCGTGAACTAATTTGACCAGATGTGAGAATATCTGTGATACTGCGTGGGTGTATGTGCTTACCTGTATGAGTATGTATATTTGTGTGTCTGCGCGTGTTACCTGAATGAGACTGCGAAGTGCCTCCACATATGACTGCTCTGTGTCCAAGAGGGTCATCATCACATGTTTCCTCATGTCCTGTGAAGACAGAAGAAGAACAAGAAGGTCAATCATCACTGCATTTAGATTTTTTCTCACACACTCACATATTGTATAACATATTACAGTTGGTTATGCACACACACACACAAACACTGACATGCACATTTTGTTTTGGGCTACAAAAGACATATTTCCTAATGACATGTAATGCTCTAGGGCTAGGCAGAAAGAGTATGTATCTCAAATGTAATTAGCATGTTAATGAGTCTTAATACGAACTCACAGTCTAGCGTAAAGGAAGTTGGATGGAACCATTTTGACTCAAGAACAGAAATAAGACATCTGCAAGCAGTGTAAAACTTCACAAAACTCCTACATTTTGTATGTAATATATGTCCAGCATAAATGAATGAAAACTTATTAAAATATTAATAAATAAGAAAATATATCAGAATCACGTCACTACCGGTGACACTCCACGTTTGTGTCATGCTTAAAGGGGATGGCCTTGTTTTAATAATTAAATAGCTGCAGCTGTAATTCCCTTAATAGTGTGTGACTCTGTTGTTGTCTTACAACTGTGGTATTAGAAAATAACTTAAATAGTGGATAGATGCACCAAAAACCTTGAGGCAGACTCAAACAAACAAGACACAGAAACACAAATGAGTATGAAGTTGAAGTGAACTTTATATGGTAATTTTGTTTATTGCTGATACATACTGAAGTAACAGAAGGCAGTCCTTTTAAATCTCCCATTTATACCTCTGCACATCTCCCTTCCAACACCAGATACACAACACTGAAACAAAAAAAAGCATCATGATCACGGCTGTCTAGTTGTATGAAAGACTTACTTCTCAAACCAAATCTTAGTTTTCCAAATTCATTATTGGACTAATTTCTCTGCACTCAGAAGTTCCTGACTTTTTGTTTCCTATGGCTAAGTTCCTGGAACTGTTTGATTGAAATATAAAATCTTGAAAGTCATTGTGCTCTATTCTAAATATTATTATACAGGAGGCAAACACAGACAAGGCTGCAAAAAATGTCACAACCGCTGCACATTCATAGCTAACACACACACACAGACCGGATTAGAGGTCAGTGAGGCCAGGATGTCCAAAGAAGCAAAGTGTGACTCAGCAGTTCACTCTAACAATGACTCATGATTTAAGGATGCAAGTGGATGAGCTGCTCCGACACACAGCGGACACAAACCCAACGCAATAAAGCTCAGAAGGAAACAAACTGAATCAAAGTGAAGAGAGAAGATGATGATGGGAAGAAAAAAAAAATACATAGAAGGGTGTGTTTTGTTTGTTGTTGTTTTTTTACTTATGCAACAAACAAAGACAGTGTTTTATTTTACTCTTGTATACTGTGAGATGAATCAAAATCAATGACCAACTTATTCTTTTTTTAAACAGAATGGGACAACTACCAGCTAAAAAACAAGCCTTACCTCAAACTTTTAGTGACAACAGTTGAAATACATCACTCTTTTCTCTGGTTAAAATGAGATTTCCATGCGATTGTGTGTGTGTGTGTGTGTGTGTGTGTGTGTGTGTGTGTGTGTGTGTGTGTGTGTGTGTGTGACAGAAAGAGGGAGGTGGGAGAAAAACAAGGGGAGTATAAGGATCATGGAACAAGTCAGATTTATTATCTCAGGGGTCTCAGGGGAGACTCCCAAAATATTCTCGTACCAAACATGACTTATAAATATCAGCCACAGGCAAAACCCTATTGTGTGTATATAACCACAACCCCCCCTCCCCCAACACACACACACACACACACACACACACACACACACACACAGAGCACAAAAACACACAGAGGAGGATTGTTTTCCCCTTTTCCCCTGCTCCCCTCTGCCAGCACCACTGTGCCCTATAAATAACCGTAACAATGACTTCCCAGAAAGGCCATGTTTAGTGTTTGGCTTCTGAAGGGATCCCAGGGCGCTGTGGGGTACCAAAGGTGGTGTGTGGATGGAGAAGTGTGTGTGTGTGAGACAGTTAGTGCATAAAAGTTATTGTGAGTGGAAAACTTGCTATCTAAAACAACAGAGAAGCATTATTCTTTGGGCGGCGTTTATAGCGAATGTTAGGTTGACAGTCGGATCAACAGTGTTGCTTCTTCACAGATTGAGGGATTCAGTCCAAGTCTCTGCCCTGAGATATAAACACAGCGGAGCGGAGGGAATAAATACAGAGCTAAACAATGCTAAAGAGGGAAACACACAATACCACCGTAATCATCCATTTGTACTCCCCAATTACCCCCCAAATAGGGACACTCATCTATTCAAAATACGCCTTGATTCACTCTCCTTATAGAGCAAGCAGGAGCACGACACTGGATCTGAATATCAGTTTCTCAAGTGCTATTTAACAAGATTTGTATCAATAGGAATTCATAATCAGCTGCTGATCTTTCTCAATTTATATTTAACATACGAGATTATGATTAGACTGGCTTCATCGTTGTGGTGTCTAACTCCGACTGTATTGCTCCAAAATTAAATATGTGAGCAGCAAGATAGCTGAGAGGAATTTTAATATTTTAGATAATTTGGATTCTATTTGAACTTTAAAATTAACTTTAATGAAAGGTCTTCAATGGACTTCGTTGACTCTTCTGGCTTGTAAAAGCTGTCACTGTGTTTTTCTGTTTTTGTATGTCCACTTATCTTTTTTTGATCAATTACATATTTATACTATGTCAGAAAACAACAGAAAAGGCCAATTACATTTGGACATCTACATCTTTAAATAGCCTTTTTTTTGTAAAATAGAGAGAAACTTATTTTATTATTAATAAATTAATATAATAGATAAGCAGCAACTCTTCCTACTGAAAGTTTGGCATTAATATTTGATGAGTGCTTTAAAATGACTAATCCTAATTTTTCTCACTTAAAACTTAAATCAATTAACTGACTAATCGTTGCATTATTTATGTAGTGCGCAGTATATTGAAAAGCAAGATACCATGGTACCTACAACTGCAGTGACAGATGCTGTCCGTATCAACACTGTGCTGTGCACACACACACACACACACACACACACACACACACACACACACACAGCTGCCTCTGCATTAATGTCTCATACAAATTAAACCTCATTAATAATGATCAAATTAATTAGTCAACCTGACAAAAACAAACAAACGTCTGAAAACGACTGCTTTCACTACAACAAAGGTAAACAAGCACACGCAGCGTAGGAGTGACTGTCAGTAATCAGTAATGACGCTGGCCATATGACCTGACAACAACAAGAAGACAGGGAATAACACATGAACTTTCTTCAGGGCAGGAATGTTGCTCTGTTGTTTGCTGTTCATCTTTATTGGGTTACACACACATACGCACACACACACGAACATGGTGAAATAATGCTAGGAATGCTATTTTCATTTTGCTAGCAGGGTTTCCATAGCTGATAGGCTGAACGGTCGCAGGAAAGGCTGGTCTCAAAAGTAGAGCTGCAGCTCAGATGCTCTCAAGTCCAGTCGAGCCTCAGACCAGCAAGTCCAACAGTGGCACACAGTAACTGTGGTACTACGATGACACAGCATGAGTCACTGTTTCATTGTTTTCCCCTGTCCAGCTCAAGAGGCTGAGAGTGGGGAGTAACATCTAATAATACTATTTATTTTCCTTTTCTTAAAACGTCGTAATTTTAACCTATGTATTTTAAATGATGAATTGTGTATTTGAGGACCATTATAAGTGCGCTATAAATAAAATATATAATATAATATTATTATTACTACTACTGCTGTTTGGTTCAATTTATATCTTATTTTGGTATTTGCATGACGAGGCAAGAAATTAGCTGTCAGATGATCAGTCAGGTTTGTAAGGCCGGTTGCCAGATTATCAATACCACTTTATTTGGAGGTAAAATTTCAGATGTAAAAGTGAGCGCAATCAGAAATGTCAGTATTAATCGTTCAATGAACAGGATTTGTGTGTGCAAACAACTGCTGAAAGTACTGTAGCTGGTCTGTAAACTGTGGTGGATGCTTACAACCGACAGTGTCAGTACTAATATCACTGTTTACCTTCATCTGTTTCTTCCAAATAAGTTTGACTACCTTGGGTTTTGTTAACAACTTGTATGATCATCGGTCGGTCAGACTTTATTTTAGCGATGTCACCGTGTTCTCAGATCTCATCAATCACCGTGGTAGTACAATGCTGTTATGGCTGACAAAACTGATGGACGAAACTACAAAATGTAGAGCCAGGTAGTAATAAACTGGAATTATCTTTAAAAATCTTGATAGGTGGGTTGGTGTAACAAAAGTTTAACAAGCACAGGTGTAACTAATAACTATTAATGATAATAACAGCCACAGTCCACTTCTGTGCTCCAGTTAGCCATGAAAATTGATTAATGTAAGAAATAATTTTCCATGTTGTAGCTTTACTATTTTGGTCTATTCTGTACACACAACATTTATTGCATGTCTGTCTCAGACTTAACAAGCCCCGTGGACACAGACAGTATAATTTTGGCTTTAGCCACATCAGGCACAAAACTCATATAGCCTGGTTGTTTGTCACAACTGACAACATGAATACTCGGTGGAGCAATTTTTCAAGAGCCCCGGCCCTGACACAAAAAGTACAGGGGCAATGAACACTGTAATAATATAAGGTTAGCCTTGCCAGGGAGAGGGCTTCTGTATTGACAGACAAACACAATGATGCTTCAGGACTGAAAGGGTGTCTGCATCCACTCATTCTCCACATCAGTGGGGGTCAAGCAGCAGAAAACAAGTCGTACCAGGTTAGAGGGACCGGACATGGGTCAGTTATCCTCCCCACACTCACTGTAATCATAGCTTAGGCTCTATGTCAGGGAAGCAAAAGACAAATACTTCAATCACTGATTTCGACCACTGACGAAGTTCGACAGAGGTACATGCTGTTGTTGTCTTAATGTATTTTGATGTGATGTATTTGAAGTGTTCAGATGGCGGTCCGAATGTATCCGAGAGATGCTGCAGCTGGT